AGGTATCCAATTCCGGAGGCCTTTAATGGAGCTTGTTATCTGCTCAGCATTCCGGAGGTCCTGACTAGGCTTGTTATCTGTTCATCCTTTGCAAGACGTTATAACTGTGGTTAAAGTTAAAACGAGTTGGGGTCCTTCAAACTCAGGCGTGGTGGCAAGCTGTGCCACATCACCAGCCTCTAAGTATGTTTTGTCCACATTATAACTAAAATAAAACTAACAACAGAAAACCATCTAAAAGATTCTAACGTGTTTGGAAATAAATGGGGTGTACTCTAAGTGATTGTAGCTAAGGTGGCGATCCCTGGAAGAAAGAACAGACTCGGTACAGCAACCTTGCCTTCCAGTGCTGCTGACCACATCAGAAGAGCAAACTGCACAAATGGAGGGAATGAAACAATAAAGAGCCAAGTAGAGACCAATATGAAATATAAAGAAAAGCCACTGAAACTAAAATGTTACAGAATTGGGACTATTAATAAAGCTGTAAGCAGGTAAACCCAGAATAAAAAGAGAGGTCCGTGTGTCGTGCACACCTGTAATCCTAGTACTCAGGAGGATGAGGCAGGAACACGGAGAGCCTAAGGCAGGGCTGGCTACATAGTGAGTTCAAGACCAGATCCATCTGCATAGCAGCATTGCCTTCTCTCAGATTCCTTTTAAACCATAAGATGACACTCTCAGAAATTAGACATGTGGCATCCTCTATATTTTTAATTATTTATCAGGAGAGAAGGAGCAGCTATTTGGCAGGACATTTGACATCAAATGATGAAATGGGCAATTCACTAAGAGTAAATGCCCCTGTGACAAAGGAGAAGCTATGGGAGAAATTGTACTTCTAGTTAAAAATTAACTCCAGAGCCCTAGTGAACACACACTTAATAAAAGTGCCCATACAAAACACATAAACTGCAAACAAATACATAAACTCATTTTTAGTAGTTTGAAAATTCAAATAAACACCACAGATATTGGGAATAAAAAGAGCACTGGGCATGGTGTCGTGTGCCTGTATCCTCAGTTCTGGCAGCTGAGGTAGGAGGATCATTTAGCCTAGGCCCAACCTGGGCAACATAGTGAAACCCTGTCTCAAAAATAAATAAATAAATAAATATTTTTTTTTTTAAAAAAAAAAGACAGAGGCGGAGAAGTCCTCTGGAAGGCAATGTGGAAGTTTCTTTAGAAGCCACATATGTACTTATTTGCACTAGCTACCCCACTATGCCACGGAGTCTAGTGCATCCATGTCCATACTACCTGTTTGTTGGGACACCAGGCTGGGAACAGTCTTGTGTGTAGAGGTTTGTGGCTAAGCAGCATGTGGTGTGTCTATATGGTGGAGCACTCTCAGCCATCAGGGAGAACTACTGACTCATGTGATCCCTAGAGCTGGAGTTGCATGTGGTTGTGAGCTCTTCACTGCTGCGCCATCTCCAACCCCGACACGGTATCTCATCATTCACTTCCTAGAGTGACTTTACCAGACTCTCAGAAGAGAGGCCTTCAGCACGCCTTCCGCACTTGCTCTCCCTTTGACCCTGGTCTACCTGACTGGATAGGGAATCTAGGTCCTCAAGCACGGAATGGTCTTCACATTTCTTGGATTTGCCCTTCTCTTCAATGCGCCCGTTACAGCTTCCGTCATACTTGTCTGCAGCCTCAGCTGGCTCACTGCGAAACCTCCTGCTTTCCCCTGGGCTGGAGAGCCGATGGCTGCACCTCAGGAAGGAAAACTCGGAGGCAGAGGCAGGTGGATCTCAGTGAGTTCAAGGCCAGCCTGGTCTACAGAGCGAGTTCTAAGACAGGCTCCAAAGCTAGAGAGAAACCATCACCAAAAACCAAACCAACCAAATAAATAAATAAATAGATAGATAAATAGATAAACTCATCATTTATTCTGTCAGTTTTGGAAGCCAGGCATCCAAAATTAAGGTGCGAGCAGATCTGTGCTTCCTTCAGAGGCCCTGGGAGAGTCCATCTGGTCTCTCTGGCTTCCTAATTTGTGGTTTACATAATTCCAGCTTCTGCCTCCATCCATCTTCACCTAGCCTTTCCCTACCTGTTTCTCAGCTTTAGGAGGGCTTGCCCGAATCCAGCATGATTGTATCTGCCACAACCCTTTTTCCAAATAATCTCACACTCAGAGGCGCTTGGTATTAGGGCATGGATATATGGGGAAGGGGCACAGTTCAGTTTAGTACAACCTAGGAGAATAATGCATGAGCCATCATTAGGACCCGCGAAGACCCCTCAGGATCTAGAGTGCCTGTTTCTGAAGATCTTTTGCGTGGACCTCTGACATCCCAGTGAGATCTGAAACAATCTATCTGACCTCTTTACCTTGTTTGGTTCTAGCCATGGCTCACAGCCTCAGGGCCATTCATAGCCCATTTAACTTGGCAGATGGCTGGTGAACCCAAGGATCTTGAAAGAAAGGAGCATTTACAGAATACCCAGTCTGTATTTCCACCTCAGTCTCCATAAAGACGTTATGAGCTAGGTCATTGATGTCCATCTTATAGACAAGGTAATTGTAAAACTTAAAACTTGCTAGTCACACGTCTTCACAGCCTGATCACAGTGTGCCTTTGTAGGACTGAGTGACAAGCCCAGGGAAGAGGCACATCAATACTTTGTCATTACTTCTTTCCTCTAGTACCAGCCACTGTGTGATAACTCATTGGTGGCACAATAGCGGCACCCAGTGGCCTCAGGCACAAACTACATGATCAAGGCCCTAGGTCAAATTCTTTTTTACTTCTGGGCCTATTATTTTGTTTCCATGGCAACTAGCCAACTCACCTAATACAGAATCAACCCATCTATAGTTTAAGGAGAAATGGGCAGTTCTCTAAGGAAAGATTTGGTCTCCTAGGGTGCAGACTAGAATTGAATGTTCCAATGTTGAATCCAAGGAGCTGTATTTTTAAGGATTTAAGGAGGCCCAGATTTCCCTGGCTAGAACAAACTGAAACTGCACTGTTTCTTGGGGGCTATCTTTGCCCTTCGTATGTTCCTGGGAATGCAATTATACAAGTTGGAACTTGTATTAATAACAATGTAGGCCAGGCATGGTGGCACACACCTTTTAGGATATGTGCATCTGAGGATTTTGGTCTATTGGGAGAGACTGTGGAACCAGCCACAGAAATGATGAGCAGTAATTGTAACTGCATAGCTCTGGAACATAGCCAGGTATGGTAGTGTACACCTTTTACCCCAGCACTTGTAAGACAGAGGCCTGCCTGGCCTACACAGTAAGTTCCACTACAGCCAAAGCTACGTAGTGAGACTGTGATGTAATTCTTATGTAGGACTTACCTTTTTTGTTGTCTTTCATGACAGGGTTTCCCTATGTAGCCATAGCTGTCCTGGAACCTGCTCTGTAGACCGGGCGGCCTCATACTCAGAGATCTGTAAGTGCAGGCTGCTTGTTCTTCCCGGCCACCCAGACCCGAAATAATCACACAGAAACTGTGTTAACTAAAACACTGTTTGGCCAATAATTTAGGTATATTGCTAGCTAGCCCTTATATCTTAAATTAACCCATTTCTATTATTTTCTATTTTACCACGAGGCTTGTGGTTTACTGTTACCGGTGTGCGGGCGTCCTCCTCCTGCAACTACATGGCGTCTCTACAACTCCGCCAACTCTCTCCCTTCATCTCTGTTCAGATTTTCTGCCTGGATTTACTCTGTTAAGCCACTGGCTGAAAGTAACTTTTTAATTAATCACTGGCAATAAAACGAACATACAGAGGGGAATCCCATATCAGAGATCCGCCTGTCTCTGCCTCCTGAGGGCTGGGACTAAAGGTGTGAACTGCCATGCCCGGCGACTGACTGGTCATTTTAAAGTGTGCAGCTCTAAAGGTGCTACTAAGGCTCTCATGGTGCTGTGTCCCCCTTCCGAACTCCACCGCACTGAAAACCAGCCCTGCACCCGCTGAGCTTAGCCCACTCTCTCCTACTCGTTTCACTTTCCACTCTCCATGGTGTTCTTTGGAGTAGAAATCGCAGATGAGGGCTGGGTTGTTGATTTTGAGGCAGACTCTTGTGTATCTGAGACCTTTATCTTTATATGGCCTTTATCTTCCTAAGTAGCTGAGGATGGTCTTGAACTCATACTCATTTGCCTTCATCTCCTGCATGCTGGGATTACATGTATGTGCTACTATGCCATTTTATGTAGTGCTAGGGGTTGTACCCAGAGCTTTCATGCACTTTTGAGCTATGCAAGTACTCATTTTTCATATTTTTAAAGATTTCCTTTTAATTTTTATATTTAATAATTTATATATGCATAAAGATGATCAGAGAGACAGACGATCAGACATTCAAGGTCAGCCCTGGGATATATGAGACTCTGTTCCTCATACCCCCCCAATTATTTATTTTAAAATAGACATAGCCAGGCATTGTGATGTATGCCTTTAATCCTAGCTCTCAGGAGGCAAAGGCAGGATGATCTCTGTGAGTTCGAGCCTAGCCTGGTCTGCATATCAAGTTCCAGACAGTCAGGACTCCATAAAGAGGGGCTGGAGAAATGGCTGTGTTTAAGAGGGACCATCTGCTCTTGCAGCAGACCAGAATCACATCAGACAGCTCACAAACATGTAATTCCAATTCCAGGGGACCTGACACCCTCTCCTGGCCTCCTACATGTACGCATGTACACACATAATTCACATAGGTCCTCACAACTAGACTGAGTAGAAAGATGGACACGTGCACATAAAATGATGAGCAGTGCCATACTTCACTGTCAGCAAGTATCCGAAGGCCAGGGAAGAACAGACTTGCTGGGAAGGCTAGAGCGTGAGTTGCACAGGAGGATGCTTTGAAAGTTGGAGGTCAAGTAGAGACTGATGAACTAGGAGGAAGAGGGAGTTCCAGGTGAAGAAGGCCCTATAAATCAATCAAGCCACCAGGCACACGGCTCACTAAGGCTCAGTCAGACTTCTGCAAACTCATTTGGAATTTCTAATTGTTACAGCACCCAACTCCAGAGAAAAAGCACTCCACCCAGAGCACCGAAGACTGGCATGGGACTATCGGCCAGCAGTCCCATGTGGGTAAGGCGCCTGGGCTGAAAGCAGAGAAGTAAAAACCATGGCTTGGAGCATTTCAACTATACCACTGCAGTTAGGCTATGATGCCCCCTGCTGGGATTGGTTGGCTGCCACAGGGATTGTGGGGCTTCAGCAGCAGCAGCATGTATTCCTACCTGAGAGGACTGAAAATCTGTGTGTTGCACTTATTATTGTGTGCATGTTAGCTTTTCTAAAGAAAGTGCATTTGTTGGCCGAGATCCCCAGGGACCTGCTCAAGAGGGATGTGTCACGACAAAGACGCTGTAAATTTGCACCTGAGGGGCAGAGTGCTTGCCTGTTTGTCAAGACCCTGACCTTGATTCCCTTCCCCTCCACAAATGAACCTGTTACTGATAAGCGGAAAATAGTTCTCAACCTTCCTAATGCTGTAGTGCAACCCCCAACCATAAAATTATTTTCATTGCTACTTCATAACTATAGTTTTGCTACTGCTATAAATCGTAATATCTGATTTGCAACCCCAGTAACAGGACTATTCAACACAAAGGGGTCGCGACCCACAGGTTAAGAACCACTGGCTAAAGCATGCTGACTCGTATCTGTGATCCCAGAAGCAGGGTGATCAGTTTAAGGTCAGCCTTAGTTACGTCAGAGCCTGTTTAAATATCAACAAAAGGCTGCCTCTGTAGCAGCTGCCTAGTACAACACCAGAGAGACTGAGTTGTTTTCTGCCCGAAGCAATCGGAGCTTGGAATTCATGCTACACAATCGCACAATCGGGTGGTGGGAGTTACTAATGCCCTCTATCAAAGTCCAGCTAAGACGGGGGTGGGGCGGGGCGTGGGGGGTGGTTACGGAAGGCAGGAGTTGAAAGATTTCATCTGGAAGGATGGAGTGGGAGAGCTCATTTAGAACTCCCCTGTCTCAAGACTTTGCAGCACTAGCACAAGGCTGCGGGAGCAAGATTTGAAACGGACTTTTCTTCTCCTAGAGAGCAGCGGGCAAGCAGAAAACAAGAAACTGAAGAGAAGCCCCAGCCTGGGCAGGGAAGAATCGCAAGCTCTGTGCCCCGCCAGAGATCCGAACCCTCCAGAGTGCGCCACACGCCACCACAAGCCCACTGTGGTCTCCCCCAATGTCAGAGGATCGCCGGCCAGAGCGGCCCAAAGCAGGGTCTCGGCGCCAGACGCAGCGAGCCCTGCGGGCGGCCTGGAGGTACCGCGGCGAGCGCAGGGCGGGTGCCAGCCTGGGCTGCTGCCGCTAGGTCCTCACCACTGTCTCCTCTGCTCCCGCAGGACTTGTGGCTGCAAGAGGTTTCCAATCTGTCCGAGTGGCTGAGTCCGGGACGCAGGTTCTAAGCGCCCGCTACTGAGGATCCCAGCGGGCCAACGCGCCCGGGACACGTGTGTCGTGCCCTCTGGAGTTCAATAAAACTGCTCCAAGCACAGAGTCTCCGCTTCGGTGCAAGGGGAGGGGCACCTCGGGGCCACCGGCAGCTCGCGCCGCCGCCTGACGTCATCCACGCAGACACGTCACTGCCGCGCGCCACGGGTCCGGGCGTGATGGCGGCGCTGGGCGGGGACGGGCTGCGCCTACTGTCGGTATCGCGGCCTCAGCGGCAGCCCGAGTCAACCGCGCTGAGCGGCCCGGGCCCGGGGCTGTGCTGCTGGGTGTCCGTGTTCTCCTGCTTCAGCCTCGCCTGCTCCTATGTGGGCAGCCTCTACGTGTGGAAGAGCGAGCTGCCCAGGTGCGGGGGCTGCGCGCGCGGCCGAAATCCGCGCCCCCGCGAGGCGGGACTGTGGGCGGGGCTGTGTACGGGGGTGGGGCCGCGGTGGCAAGTGGCTGCTACAGGCCCCCTGAACTCACTGATCCTTCCTAGGGACCACCCTGCTGTCATCAAGCGGCGTTTCACCAGTGTCCTGGTGGTCTCCAGCCTGTCCCCTCTCTGCGTGCTACTCTGGCGGGAACTCACTGGCATCCAGGTGCGAAGGAGGCGGGGCACAGGGCAAGCAGGGAAAGATTCCAAGGTTTTTGTGGGAGGGAACATCACTGATGCCCCCTTTCCTGTGGCTCAGCCAGGCACATCACTGCTCACCCTGATGGGCTTCAGGCTGGAGGGCATTTTCCCAGCAGCTCTGCTGCCGCTGCTGCTAACTATGGTGAGTCCTGCTTCCTTTTTCCTACCCTGTGTTCACTAGTGTAATGAAATGCCCTTGTGTACAGCCTTGGAGGTTGGCTGACGGGAATTGTGATATGACCCTTGAGCCCCCTGGTGTGCATGACTGGGAAATCCAAGAACTTAGGAAATTTGGTCCTGAGGCTGACCAAGGGCACTGTGTGAGCAAGGTCATTGGATTGTGGTGAGTCTTTCATTTGATCCGTCTTTCTGCCCCCAGATCCTTTTCCTGGGTCCACTGATGCAGCTCTCTATGGATTGCCCGTGCGACCTGACAGATGGGCTGAAGGTTGTCCTGGGTGAGTCTTCAAGACTGAGGAAAAGGTAGGCACAGGCAGTCCAGGACACTGGGGAAAGGAGTCAGTGAGATGCTGTGACCTGGACTGAAGAGGCGAGATGTCACCTCTCTGGGTGTGTTTCTTCACCATTAAAGTGGATCATATTGCTGGGTACCTTGTAAATTTATGATTCTCAAGGAGGCCTTTCAGGACCCAAAACAGTACTTGATTTGGGTCAGAAGCACCTTCCCCTACTTTTCCATCCTTGACTTCCCCAGACTGGCCTTGGTTAAATTTACTGACTCCCTCATCTACTGTTCCCTTCCCTTACCATTGTCACCTATATTTCAAGACATTGTGATTATGTGTGCTCCATTCTGATTCTCAGGGTTCCCGACCTGAGTGTGGCCAGAATAAATCTGTGGTAAGGGCCCTCTTTTTAGTAACTAGGCACTCATTATTATCCTGAATATTTACCCTAGCCCCGCGTTCTTGGGCCCGCTGCCTCACAGACATGCGCTGGCTACGAAACCAAGTTATCGCACCCTTGACAGAGGAGCTGGTGTTCCGGGCTTGTATGCTGCCCATGTTAGCGCCATGCACAGGTCTGGGCCCTGCTGTGTTCACCTGCCCACTCTTTTTTGGAGTTGGTGAGTCTAACTGGTCCAGTGAAGATATTCCCAGCATGAGGGCTGAAAATGGGGCGTGGGGTGAGGGGTGAGCTAGATAACAGGCCAGAGGAATACGATGTGGTTTTCACTTTCCTCCCAGCCCATTTTCATCACATTATTGAGCAGCTACGTTTCCGCCAAAACAGTATGGGGAGTATCTTCTTGTCTGCAGGTGAGCCTGGGAAGCTTGCTTGGGGCAGGGTGTTATGATATGCCTGACAGCCACTCTACAGAAAGAGCTGGAAACATGGGGCTATAAATGTTGAATGGGGACCACTGGTCATTGGAGGTGGGGTACAGAGAACAGCCACAGATGGTGGGGCAGCCACTGTCAAGGGGAAAGGGTGGTCTCTGGCTGTGGGATGTGCAGGGCTGGGGCAGGGTGGGCATCAGGTGTAGTCACTCGCAGCTTCTGTCTCCAGCATTCCAGTTCTCCTACACCGCTGTCTTCGGTGCTTACACAGCTTTCCTCTTCATCCGCACAGGTTGGTTCTCGGGGCCCCATAGCCGAGGGTGGGAGAAGGGGGTAGTGTGGATGTGACAGTTTCTTCTAGCACAGTCCTTGAAGCAGACTGAGCCAGGGCCCTCAGCTCTTTAAGGTCTGAAAGGTTATGACTTGGGGGCCAGAAGTGGTGGGGCCGTTTCATATGTCACACCATCTCCCTCTCTAGGACACCTGATAGGGCCAGTTCTTTGCCACTCCTTCTGCAACTACATGGGCTTCCCTGCCGTGTGCGCAGCCCTGGAGCATCCACAGAAGTGGCCATTGCTGGCAGGCTATGCTCTTGGTGTGGGACTCTTCCTGCTTCTGCTTCAGCCCCTGACGGACCCCAAGCTCTATGGCAGCCTTCCCCTTTGTGTGCTTTTGGAACGAACAGGAGCCTCAGAGACCCTACTGTGCTCCTGACCATCACTCTTGTGTACACTCCAGTGAACTCTGACGGGCTCTCCAGCCCCTCCTTATCAAGGAATACTGCAAGGGCAGGGCTGGCTGGGGTCCCCGAGATCTCAGGAATTTTTGTAGGGGATTGAAGCCAGAGCTAGTTGAACCCCAGGGACCAAGAGAAAGTAGCAGATATCCAAAGGGTGCAGCCTCTCTCACAGAGGGGTTGAGGAGCAGCTGGACATGAGGGGAAGGACAAATCCTAGGAGCTGTGCGCTCCCTCTTTGGACTGCTGCTTCTCTTTGCCCCCCCTTCCCCCGGAAAGCTGCTCAGTGGGTTTATTTATAAAACCCTCCCAACTTCCCAGGGTTTTCTCATTGTCTTTTTGCATCAAGACTTTGTATTGGGATATTAAAGAGATTTAACTTGGGTAACATTGTCTTGAACCTTTGGGAGTGCATGTACTTGGATCTTGGTGAGGACTCAGGCCTACACTTGAGAGTGTGTACACTCCCTCTCTTGGCTGCTTTGAACACTGCCTACCTGGGCAGGTGAGCCTGGCAAGCAGGTCCCAACAGCAGAGGATGGGGTGGGGCCTTTAGCTGCCAAGGCTGTGGTTCACTCTCTCCTGAGCTCCTGTGGCTGTCAGGTACTAGGTGGGAACCCAGCCCATCGTGGGGCCTGCACCTTTGCTATTGAGGTCAGGGAGTAAGACCCACAGCTCTGACCTATGTCCCAAGAGCTGGTGGAGGGTGGCTCCAGAGCCCCATTCCACACAGAAATGTAGGTCCAGAGCACAGAGGATGCTTCTCTGTCTCCCAGGAGTGGAGGTTTCTGGTTCTACTGGACTGCTGTCCCTCTGCTGCACCCAGGACAAAGGTCATAGCACTGAGAGTGGCAAGGACTCTGCCAAGCAACACAGCAACTCAAGGTTCTTTAGGCCCAGGCTTCTTTCTACTGCTCACTACTCTACAGTGGCTCTTGTTTTCCTGGCTAACCCTTTTTCCTTTATCCTTTTAAGTCTCCCCCATTCAAGATTGTCCTGAAACCTGTTCCCTAGAGCTGGTGCTTGAGAGAAAACAGGCATGTACTCATTTCCCCAGTGTCTCCCCCGCCCTAAGGTTGGCTGCGACGTGGCTGCCTCCCTGTAGAGTGCCTCTCACCTCTCACCTCCAGCCTGTGCAGAAGCTGGCACTAGGGAGGTGAGGGTGTAGATAGAATTTAGATCTTGGAGTCCAGAAAGGATGCAGCCTAGGCCCACTGACTTGTTCTCCCCCAAAATCAGGTGCCAGGACCCTGAGAACACTGGGCAGACAGGCTACAGGCATCCATTATCCTGAGATCTAGGAACTAACTTTCTTTCTTTCTTTCTCCCCCCCCCCTTTTTTTTAAGTAAAACAGATTTGGCCTAGATCTCATAGGAATTTGAGAGACCCCCACCCACACTGCCCTGGGTTGGAGACAGCACTAGGGATGGTGTAGACTGTCATGATCTAGTGTGGAGGGCAAGGGAAGGCCACTTTTATTGAGCAAATTTCCCAGGACCTGCGAATTAGGTCTTCCCCCTACCCCCAGAGGTAGAACCCCTAAACCACCTCCCCCAGGTCCCAAGGCCACCTGCTGTACACCTGTAGTCTCCCACAGGAGCAACCCCTTATTTGGCAAGAGATGAGAATATGAGCAACTGCCTGTCCATAAGGAAAGGACAAATGACCGAAGGGAATGGGCCACTGCAGATAGTGTGTGCTGTCCCATGGGACAGGACCTCAAGGGCCTGGCCTTCCTGCTCTCAGGTACCGGCTGGCCTGGGCCTGCCCTGGCTGCACAGCTTCTGTCGGGAAGTTTGGGGTAGGGTTGGCCAGGCTGCCACTCTGAAGCAAGATCACTCGATCTCTAGGATGAGGTCATCGCCTTCCAGTGTCATGTCCTTGGTCACGTGAACCTTGCGGATAGTGCCGTCCATGGGTGAAGTCACCACAGTCTCCATCTTCATCGCACTGAGCACACAGAGGGGTTGACCCTTAACCACCTTGGCTCCTGCTGCCACCTTGATGTCTATGACCTTCCCAGGCATAGGGGCCCCGATTTGGCCCTTCACATCCTTCAGAGCCTTGGGATGGAAGTGCATCTCCTGCAAACAAGATAGAGATGACATGAGACACCAAGTCAGGCCCAGCCCTGCCACCTGGCTGGCCCTGAGGGTACTGTACCTTCATTGCCTGGGTGTCCTTAACCAGAATGGACCGAAGTTGCCCATTGAGTTCAAAGAAAACTTGCCTCTGGCCAGCCCGGTTCAGGTCACTCACTGCCAGGGCTTTGATGTGCAGTGT